TATTCAAATAGCTTTGTTGAATGTATTTGACTTTCATATGATTTAAAAAGCTTTGTTTAAATGTGTTTGACTTTCATTGATTGAATTAGCTTTGCAGAATTCATTTGACTTTCATTTAATTCAAATATCTTCTTTGAATGCATTTGACTTTAATTTGATTCAAAAAGCTTAGTTTGAATGTGTTTGACTTTCATTTGATTCAATTAGCTTTGTAGAATGCACTGCCTTTTATTTGATTCAAATAGCTTCTTTGAATGCATTTGACTTTAATTTGATTCAAAAAGCTTTGTTTGAATGTGTTTAACTTTTATTTGATTCAATTAGCTTTGTAGAATGCATTTGAATTTCATTTTATTCAAATAGCTTTGTTGAATGTATTTGACTTTCATATGATTTAAAAAGTTTTGTTTAAATGTGTTTGACTTCCATTGATTGAATTAGCTTTGTAGAATGCATTTGACTTTCATTTAATTCAAATAGCTTTGTTGAAAGCATTTCACTTTAATTTGATTCAAAAAGCTTTGTTTGAATGTGTTTGACTTTCATTTGATTCAATTAGCTTTGTAGAATGCATTTGACTTTTATTTGATTCAAATAGCTTTGTTGAATGCATTTGACTATCATTTGATTCAAAAAGCTTTGTTTGAATGTGTTTGACTTTTTTTTAATTCAATTAGCTTTGTAGAATGCATTTGACTTTCATTTGATTCAATTAGCTTTGTTGAAAGCATTTCACTTTCATTTGATTCAAAAAGCTTTGTTTGAATGTGTTTGACTTTGATTTGATTCAATTAGCTTTTTAGAATGCATTTAACTTTTATTTGATTCAATTAGCTTTATTGAATGCATTTGACTATCGTTTGATTCAAATAGCTTTGTTGAATGCATTTGACTATCATTTGATTCAATTAGCTTTGTTGAATGCATTTGACTTTCATTTGATTCAAATAGCTTCTTTTAATACATTTGATTTAAATTTGATTCAAAATGCTTTGTTTGAATGTGTTTAACTTTCATTTGATTCAATTAGCTTTGTAGAATGCATTTGAATTTCATTTTATTCAAATAGCTTTGTTGAATGTATTTGACTTTCATATGATTTAAAAAGCTTTGTTTAAATGTGTTTGACTTTCATTGATTGAATTAGCTTTGTAGAATGCATTTGACTTTCATTTAATTTAAATATCTTCTTTGAATGCATTTGACTTTAATTTGATTCAAAAAGCTTTGTTTGAATGTGTTTGACTTTCATTTGATTCAATTAGCTTTGTAGAATGCATTTGACTTTTATTTGATTCAAATAGCTTCTTTGAATGCATTTGACTTTAATTTGATTCAAAAAGCTTTGTTTGAATGTGTTTGACTTTCATATGATTAAATTAGCTTTGGTGAATGTATTTGACTTTCATTTGATTCAAAAAGCATTGTTTTAATGTGTTTGACTTTCATTTGATTCAATTAACTTCATAGAATGCATTTGACTTTCATTTGATACAATTAGCTTTGGTGAAAGCATTTAACTTTCATTTGATTCAAAAAGCTTTGTTTGAATGTGTTTGACTTTCATTTGATTCAATTAGTTTTGTAGAATTCATTTGACTTTTATTTGATTCAATTAGCTTTGTTGAATGCATTTGACTTTCATTTGATTGAAAAAGCTTTATTTGAATTTGTTTGACTTTCATTTGATTCAATTAGCTTTGTTGAATGCATTTGGCTTTCATTTGATACAATTAGCTTTGTTGAATTCAATTGAACTTTATTCAATTCCAAAAACATTGTTTATATGTGTTTAACTTCCATTTGATTCAATTAGCTTTTTTGACTGTGTTTGACTTCCATTTGATTCAATTAGCTTTGTAGAATGCATTTGACTTTCATTTGATTCGATTAGCTTTGTTGAATGTATTTGACTTTCCTATAATTCAAAAAGCTTTGTTTGAATGTGTTAGACTTTCATTTGATTCGATTAGCTTTGTTGAATGTATTTGACTTTCATTTGATTCAAAAAGCTTTGTTTGAATGTGTTTGACTTTCACTTGATTTAATTAACTTTATAGAATGCATTTGACTTTCATTTTATACAATTAGCTTTGTTGAAAGCATTTAACTTTCATTTGATTCAAAAAACTTTGTTTGAATGTGTTTGACTTTCATTTGATTCAATTAGCTTTGTTGAAAGCATTTGACTTTCATTTAATTTAAAAAGCTTTGTTTAAATGTGTTTGACTTTTGTTTGATTCAATTAGCTTTGTAGAATGCATTTGACTTTCATTTGATTCATTTAGCTTTGTTGAAAGCATTTGACATTCATTTGATTCAAAAAACTTTGTGTGAATGCGTTTGACTTTCATTTGATTCAATTAGCTTTGTTGAAAGCATTGGACTTTCATTTGATTCAATTAGCTTTGTTGAAAGCATTTGACTTTCGTTTGATTTAAAAAGCTTTGTTTGAATTTGTATGACTTTCATTTGATTCAATTAGCTTTTTAGAATGCATTTGACTTTCATTTGATTCAATTATCTTTGTTGAATGCATTAGACTTTCATTTGATTGAAAAAGCTTTATTTGAATTTGTTTAACTTTCATTTGATTCAATTAGCTTTGTTGAAAGCATTTGACTTTCATTTGATTCAAAAATCTTTGTTTGAATGTTTTTGACTTTCAATTGATTCAATTACCTTTTTAGAATGCATTTGACATTCATTTGATTCAATTAACTTTGTAGAATGCATTTGACTTTCATTTGATTCAATTAGCTTTATTGAATGTATTTGACTTTCATATGATTTAAAAAGCTTTATTTGAATGTGTTTGACTTGTATTTGATTCAATTAGCTATGGAGAATCCATTTGACTTTCATTTGATTCAAATAGCTTCTTTCAATACATTTGATTTAAATTTGATTCATAAAGCTTTGTTTGAGTGTGTTTAACTTTCATTTGATTCAATTAGCTTTGTAGAATGCATTTGACTTTCATTTGATTCAATTAGCTTTGTTGAATGTATTTGACTTTCAAATGATTTAAAAAGCTTTGTTTAAATGTGTTTGACTTTCATTTGATTCAATTAGCTATGTAGAAATTATTTGACTTTCTTTTGATTCAAATAGCTTCTTTGAATGCGTTTGACTTTAATTTGATTCAAAAAGCTTTGTTTGAATGTGTTTTGAGTTTCATTTGAATCAATTAGCTTTGTTGAATGTATTTGACTTTCATATAATTTAAAAAGTTCTGTTTGAATGAGTTTGACTTTCTGATGTGTAAGCAAGGTGAGAAACTTGTTTACAAACGGTCTGGAATGCGTGTTGTGTTTAGTTGAAATAGAAGTAGCAATGTGGAGTAACTAAGAAGGATTAGGGGAACTCTCACCCTTAACCTTGAGGATATAACAATGAGGAACACTCACTCACTTGTTTGGGCGTAGTAGTGATTAGGGAACTCTCACCTATTCGACAACTACAAGTTTAAGTCTTAGGAACTCTCACTAAAACAAAAACTCTTCAAATTGAGATAACTCTCAAGTTTGGAAAATCAAACCTGACTAGCACAAGTCAAATTTAGATCATACACTCGTGTGTTTCTTGCAAATTTCTGGAATATGTTTCATTGATCATTAGCATGCTATTTATAGCTTTAGTACATCATTTAATTGCCACTACACTTAGCTAAAACAAGCAACAAATCAGAAATAACAAAACTGAAAATAAGGGTAGATTAAGTGGCTCATAACCGTCCAACTTAAACCCCATTACAACTAATTATTACTCTAATTAAGTAAGCTTATAACAAGGGAAGAAAACGTTCAGCAAATTGACTCCAACATGCTGTCCAAATTCGTCCTCCAAAGCAGCCTTTAAATGCGCATTTGTAACCTCCCAATTAAGCCTTCATTCAAGCTCCTTTATTATGAAGTTAAACCAGCTTGAAACTCTCCTTAAATCCATCTATATTCCCCATTATCAAGGTAATTAGTCACGCTCAATTTGGTGCAGCCAGTTGAGTAATTATATGGACCGTGCACCCCAAAATCCATAGGAGTAGGATCGAAGAAAGACTTGGACAAAATTAATTCCCTAACGTTCAACTCTTGGATTGGAATATTCGAACCTTGACCACTTTGGTCATCCTCCCCTTCTTCAAAGGGAATTGCCCTCAATTCTTCATCATTATAGTACGGTGCTAGATCCCCCACATTGAATGTGCTTGAGACGCCATACTTTCCTCCCAAATCTACCTTGTAGGCATTGTCATTGATCTTTTCCACTATCTCAAAAGGACCCTCGGCTCGTGGCATGAGCTTGTTCTTCCTTTGATTAGGAAACCTTTCCTTCCTCATGTAGATCCACACTAAGTCACCAACTTCAAAACTTCTCACGTTTTTGACTCTCTTGTTGGCTTGCTTCTTATAGATTTCATTAGCCTTCTCGATGTTCTTCCTTACTTCCTTGTGGATTTTCACCATGAACTCGGCTTGTTCCTTGGCACCTCCATGCACGAACTTGTCTCGAGGCAATGCTATGAGATCAATTGGAACATAAGGATTAGAACCATAGACTACTTCAAAAGGAGAATACTTCGTAGTAGTGCTAGGAGTTCTATTGTAAGCAAACTCGGCATGAGCGAGTTTGACATCCCAATCTTTGGTGCTTTTACTAACCAAGGTCCTAAGCAAAGAACCTAGTACTCTATTCACCACCTCGGTTTGGCCATCGGTTTGGGGGTGATGTGAGGTAGAAAACAGCAACTTGGTTCCCATAAGACGCCACAAGGACTTCCAAAAATGACTTTGGAACTTTGTATCTCGATCTGAAACAATGGTGCGTGGGATTCCATGGAAACGAACAACCCCATCAAAATATAATTTCGCCACCTTCGCAGCATCTTCGGTTTTATGACAAGGGACAAAGTGAGCCATTTTTGAAAAAACGATCAACTACCACCATGATTGAGTCCTTACCTCTTTGAGTTCTAGGTAAAGCCACAATGAAATCCATGCTTATGTCTTCCCAAGGTCTCTCCGGAATTGGAAATGGCTTGTAAAGACCTTTTTGAAACACCATCTTTGCCCTTTGACAAGTAGAACAACGTGCTACAACACGGTGAACAGTGGATAGCATATTAGGCCAATAAAAGTGAGCTTGAAGAAGCTCCATAGTCTTTTGAAATCCGAAATGGCCTGCTAAACCTCCCCATGCACTTCATGAATCAACAAGCTTCGAATTGGACATTTGGGAATGCATAACCTATTTCCCTTAAAAAGAAAATCATTTTGTAAGGAAAATAATTCATAACTACCATTCACGCATTTCTCCAAAATGACCTTGAAGTCATCATCTTCCTTGTAGTATTCTTTGATTAATTCGAACCCAAGGACTTTCGCCTCAACGACTCCAAGTAAAGTATGCCTTCGAGATAAGGCATCCGCAACAACATTTTCCTTTCCACTCTTGTACTTTGATGAAAAGTTAAATGTTTGCAAGAATTCCACCCACTTTGCATGTCTCGAATTCAACTTCTTTTGGCCATGGATGAACCTCAAAGATTCATGGTCAGAATGAAGTATGAATGGTTGTGGTCTCAAGTAATGCGACCAATGATTCAAAGCTCGCACCATGGCATAGAACTCCTTATCATAGGTGGAATAATTCAGCTTGCCTTGGCTCAATTTCTCACTAAAGTAGGCAATAGGACGCCCTTCTTGAATCAACACGGCACCAATCCCCTTTCCGCTTGCATCACACTCAACTTCAAATGGCTTTGAAAAATCTGGAAGTGCTAGGATGGGTGTATTTCACATTTTTTCTTTGATCACTTCAAATGCCTTTTGAGCTTGAGGAGTCCACTCAAATGAGCCCTTCTTTGTGCACTCGGTGATAGGGGTCATGAGAGTTCTGAAATTACAAATGAACCTCCTATAAAAGGAAGCTAATCCATGGAAAGAACGGACCTCCGTGAGTGTCTTTGGACTAGGCCATGATTGAATAGCCTCAATCTTGCTAGGATCAACTTTCACACCTTCTCCTGAAACAATGTAACCAAGAAAAGTGACCTCATATAGCATAAAATTACATTTTTCAAGTTTTCCATACAATTTTTGTTCTCTCAAAACCGTAAAAACTTTAAATAAATGTATCAAATGTTCATCCCCATCTTTGCTATAAATAAGGATATCATCAAGGTACACCACCACGAATTTGCCAAGGAAAGGCCGCAACACCTCGTTCATCAACCTCATGAAAGTGCTAGGTGCGTTGGTGAGTCCAAATGGCATCACGAGCCACTCATACAAGCCGTGCTTGGTTTTGAAAGCGGTCTTCCATTCATCTCCTTTCCTCATCCGAATTTGATGATAACCACTCCTCAAATCCACTTTTGAAAACCACTTCGAGCCACTCAGTTCATCAAGCATGTCATCTAGTCTTGGAATTGGAAACCTATACTTGACAGTAATATTGTTAACAGCCCTACTATCAATACACATGCGCCATGTACCATCCTTTTTAGGGACCAAAAGAGCAGGAACAGCACACGGACTCATAGACTCACGTACATACCCCATACTCATCAACTCCTCAATTTGTCGTTGCAATTCCTTAGTTTCCAAGGGATTACACCTATAGGCAGGTTTGTTAGGCAAAGGAGCACCCGGAATGAGGTCAATTTGATGTTCAATTCCCCTCAAAGGTGGTAACTCTTTCGGTAACTCATCGGGAAAAACATCCTCAAAATCCTTAATCAACTGAGCTAATTTGGGATTTTGCCTCACAAAATTTTCGTGGATCTCTTTAGAGTACAACAAGTATAATTCCTCCTCACCATCAATTTCCCTCTCAAATTCCTTAAGGGTAAGCAATGACACCTCCTTTGATTGTTTAGGATTTTGTGAAAACCGTGGGGGTGGTAAAGGGTGCAATTTTTTTTGTTTTCCTTGGTGAGTTATAGTGTAAGTGTTATGGTACCCATCATGTTGAGATTTTCGATCAGTTTGCCAAGGTCTACCAAGCAAAATGTGACAAGCATCCATAGACACAACATCACACAGTTGAGTATCATGATAAGACCCAATAGAAAAACTAACCATGCATTGTTTCCTAACTCCCGTGCTAGAATTAGAGTCCAACCAACTCAACTTATAAGGATGTGGGTGATTTTTCGTTGTAAGACCAAGTCTAGCTATCAAGGTTTTGGAAACTGTGTTTGCCTCACTACCACCATCAACAATTAAATCACATACCTCGCCTTTAATCTTGCACTTGGTGATGAAAATGTGTTGCCTTTGCGGTGCTAAGGGTTCGTCAACGCGAGCTTGCAACGCCCTTCTCACAACCAGATTTGTTTTGGGCTCTTCTTTGGGGAAGCATTGTTCTTCCTCCTTGTCCCCTTCATTAGAATTCACGTCCTCCACTTCTTCAACCTCGAAATCCTCCCAATTGATAGTTTGATTAGCAATAAGCTTTACCTCTTGTATGGTCAAAGCTCTGGAATTTGGACAATCCTTCTTAAAATGGCCCCTTCCTCCGCACTTGTAAAAAACAATGTCACTCATTTTGAAATCTTTCTTGTCCTTCTTAGGTGGATCATTGGCTTTGACAAAAGAAGAACCATCCTTGACAGGGAAGGTTGGTCTTCGTGCCACTTGAGGGGTGACAATCGGCTTTTTCTTCTTCCTTTTTGAATCAAACTTGATCACAAATTTGCAAGCTTCAGCAAAGGTTAAATTGGTGTAACCTTCAAGTTTTTCTTGCAACTCTTGATCCAACCCAGCCACGAAACGTCCCATCTTGAGTTCTTCATTCTCCGTGATTTCACACACGATAGAAAGTCTGTCAAACTCTTTGATGTAGTCCTCAGCCGATTCTCCATTTTGTTGCAAAGTGCTCCACTTCACATATTGGCTTTGCTTGAAATTGTGAGGAATAAAGCGATCCCTCATCCTTTTCTTCAACTTGCTCCAAGTAGAAATAGACGCCTTACCCCTAAGAGTACGTCCCCTTTGCTCTCCTTATAGCCAGTTATCCCCATAGCCTTTCAACTTCACCTTGGCTATCTTGTATTTTTGGAACTCCTCTTGAATGTCCTTGTAATCGAAATACCTCTCCAAGGATTTCTCCCATTCCAAGTACTTTTCTGGATCAAGTATCCCATCAAAGGCAGGGACGTCCACTTTGAGACTCCTATCCTCCCTCCTAGGTGGAGGGTCTTCGCCTTGATCTCTCCTATCATGCTCGTTCATGAGCCTTTCCATCAAGGCAGCAAGGTTCCCTTGTAGATTGGCGTTGGTTTCGGCCAACCTCTCTTGACTAGCAATGGATCGATTAAGAGCTTCCAAAGTTGTCCTCAAGTCTTGATTTTCTCCCATGGTATGTAGGTATTCGACCCCGTTGGAAGAATTTAAGAAAACTCTCCCCCTACCTGACGCGCCAAATGATGTGTAAGCAAGGTGAGAAACTTGTTTACAAACGGTCTGGAATGAGTGTTGTGTTTAGTTGAATTAGAAGTATCAATGTGGAGTAACTAAGAAGGATTAGGGGAACTCTCACCCTTAACCTTGAGGATATAACAATGAGGAACACTCACTCACTTGTTTGGGCGTAGTAGTGATTAGGGAACTCTCACCTATTCGACAACTACAAGTTTAAGTCTTAGGAACTCTCACTAAAACACAAAATCTTCAAATTGAGATAACTCTCAAGTTTGGAAAATCAAACCTGACTAGCACAAGTAAAATTTAGATCATACACTCGTGTGTTTCTTGCAAATTTGTGGAATATGTTTCATTGATCATTAGCATGCTATTTATAGCTTTAGTACATCATTTAATTACCACTACACTTAGCTAAAACAAGCAACAAATCAGAAATAACAAAACTGAAAATAAGGGTAGATTAAGTGGCTCATAACCGTCCAACTTAAACCCCATTACAACTAATTATTACTCTAATTAAGAAAGCTTATAACAAGGGAAGAAAACGTTCAGCAAATTGACTCCAACATGCTGTCCAAATTCGTCCTCCAAAGCAGCCTTTAAATGCGCCTTTGTAACCTCCCAATTAAGCCTTCATTCAAGCTCCTTTATTACAAAGTTAAACCAGCTTGAAACTCTCCTTAAATCCGTCTATATTCCCCCATTATCAAGGTAATTAGTCACGCTCAATATGGTGCAGCCAGTTGAGTAATTATATGGACCGTGCACCCAAAAATCCATAGGAGTAGGATCGAAGAAAGACTTGGAAAAAATCAATTCCCTAACGTTCAACTCTTGGATTGGAATATTCGAACCTTGACCACTTTGGTCACTTTCATTTGAATCAATCAGCTTTTTAGAATGCATTTGACTTTCATTTGATTCAATTAGCTTTGTTGAATGCATTTGACTATCATTTGAATCAAAAAGCTTTGTTTGAATGTGTTTAACTTTTATTTGATTCAATTAGCTTTGTAGAATGCATTTGACTTTCATTTGATTCAATTAGCTTTGTTGAAAGCATTTCACTTTCATTTGATTCAAAAAGCTGTGTTTGAATGTGTTTGACTTTCATTTGATTCAATTAGCTTTGTAGAATGCATTTGACTTTTATTTGATTCAAATAGCTTTGTTGAATGCATTTGACAATCATTTGATTCAAAAAGCTTTTTTTGAATGTGTTTGACTTTTATTTGATTCAATTAGCTTTGTAGAATGCATTTGACTTTCATTTGATTCAATTAGCTTTGTTGAAAGCATTTCACTTTCATTTGATTCAAAAAGCTTTGTTTGAATGTGTTTGACTTTGATTTGATTCAATTAGCTTTTTAGAATGCATTTGACTTTTATTTGATTCAATTAGCTTTGTTGAATGCATTTGACTATCATTTGATTTAAATAGCTTTGTTGAATGCATTTGACTATCATTTGATTTAATTAGCTTTGTTGAATGCATTTGACTTTCATTTGATTCAAATAGCTTCTTTTAATACATTTGATTTAAATTTGATTCAAAATGCTTTGTTTGAATGTGTTTAACTTTCATTTGATTCAATTAGCTTTGTAGAATGCATTTGAATTTCATTTTATTCAAATAGCTTTGTTGAATGTATTTGACTTTCATATGATTTAAAAAGCTTTGTTTAAATGTGTTTTACTTTCATTGATTGAATTAGCTTTGTAGAATGCATTTGACTTTCATTTAATTCAAATATCTTCTTTGAATGCATTTGACTTTAATTTGATTCAAAAAGCTTTGTTTGAATGTGTTTGACTTTCATTTTATTCAATTAGCTTTGTAGAATGCATTTGACTTCTATTTGATTCAAATAGCTTCTTTGAATGCATTTGACTTTAATTTGATTCAAAAAGCTTTGTTTGAATGTGTTTGACTTTCATATGATTAAATTAGCTTTGTTGAATGTATTTGACTTTCATTTGATTCAAAAAGCATTGTTTTAATGTGTTTGACTTTCATTTGATTCAATTAACTTCATAGAATGCATTTGACTTTCATTTGATACAATTAGCTTTGGTGAAAGCATTTAACTTTCATTTGATTCAAAAAGCTTTGTTTGAATGTGTTTGACTTTCATTTGATTCAATTAGTTTTGTAGAATTCATTTGACTTTTATTTGATTCAATTAGCTTTGTTGAATGCATTTGACTTTCATTTGATTGAAAAAGCTTTATTTGAATTTGTTTGACTTTCATTTGATTCAATTAGCTTTGTTGAATGCATTTGGCTTTCATTTGATACAATTAGCTTTGTTGAATTCATTTGAACTTTATTCGATTCAAAAAACATTGTTTATATCTGTTTAACTTCCATTTGATTCAATTAGCTTTGTTTGACTGTGTTTGACTTCCATTTGATTCAATTAGCTTTGTAGAATGCATTTGACTTTCATTTGATTCGATTAGCTTTGTTGAATGTATTTGACTTTCCTATAATTCAAAAAGCTTTGTTTGAATGTGTTAGACTTTCATTTGATTCGATTAGCTTTGTTGAATGTATTTGACTTTCATTTGATTCAAAAAGCTTTGTTTGAATGTGTTTGACTTTCACTTGATTTAATTAACTTTATAGAATGCGTTTGACTTTCATTTGATACAATTAGCATTGTTGAAAGCATTTGACTTTCATTTGATTCAAAAAGCTTTGTTTGAATGTGTTTGACTTTCATTTGATTTGATTAGCTTTGTTGAAAGCATTTGACTTTCATTTAAGTCAAAAAGCTTTGTTTAAATGTGTTTGACTTTTGTTTGATTCGATTAGCTTTGTAGAATGCATTTAACTTTCATTTGGTTCATTTAGCTTTGTTGAAAGCATTTGACATTCATTTGATTCAAAAAACTTTGTGTGAATGTGTTTGACTTTCATTTGATTCAATTAGCTTTGTTGAAAGCATTGGACTTTCATTTGATTCAATTAGCTTTGTTGAAAGCATTTGACTTTCGTTTGATTTAAAAAGCTTTGTTTGAATGTGTTTGACTTTCATTTGATTCAATTAGCTTTTTAGAATGCATTTGACTTTCATTTGATTCAATTATCTTTGTTGAATGCATTACACTTTCATTTGATTGAAAAAGCTTTATTTGAATTTGTTTAACTTTCATTTGATTCAATTAGCTTTGTTGAAAGCATTTGACTTTCATTTGATTCAAAAAGCTTTGTTTGAATGTTTTTGACTTTCATATGATTCAATTACCTTTTTAGAATGCATTTGACATTCATTTGATTCAATTAACTTTGTAAAATTCATTTGACTTTCATTTGATTCAATTAGCTTTATTGAATGTATTTGACTTTTATATGATTTAAAAAGCTTTGTTTGATGTGTTTGACTTACATTTGATACGATTAGCTTTGTAGAATGCATTTGACTTTTATTTGATTCAAATAGCTTTGTTGAATGCATTTGACTATCATTTGATTCAAAAAGCTTTGTTTGAATGTGTTTGACTTTTATTTGATTCAATTAGCTTTGTAGAATGCATTTGACTTTCATTTGATTCAATTAGCTTCTTTTAATATATTTGACTTAAATTTGATTCAAAAAGCTTTGTTTGAATGTGTTTAACTTTAATTTGACTTTCATTTGATACAATTAGCTTTGTTGAAAGCATTTGACTTTCATTTGATTCAAAAAGCTTTGTTTGAATGTGTTTGACTTTCATTTGATTCAATTAGCTTTGTTGAAAGCATTTGACTTTCGTTTGATTTAAAAAGCTTTGTTTGAATGTGTTTGACTTTCATTTGATTCAATTAGCTTTTTAGAATGCATTTGACTTTCATTTGATTCAATTATCTTTGTTGAATGCATTAGACTTTCATTTGATTGAAAAAGCTTTATTTGAATTTGTTTAACTTTCATTTGATTCAATTACCTTTGTTGAAAGCATTTGACTTTCATTTGATTCAAAAAGCTTTGTTTGAATGTTTTTGACTTTCATTTGATTTATTTACCTTTTTAGAATGCATTTGACATTCATTTGATTCAATTAACTTTGTAGAATGCATTTGACTTTCATTTGATTCAATTAGCTTTATTGAATGTATTTGACCTTTATATGATTTAAAAAGCTTTGTTTGATGTGTTTGACTTACATTTGATACGATTAGCTTTGTAGAATGCATTTGACTTTCATTTGATTCAATTAGCTTTGTTGAACGCATTTGACTTTCATTTGATTCAAAAAGCTTTGTTTGAATGTGTTTGACTTTCATTTGATTCAATAAGCTTTTTAAAATGCATTTAACTTTCATTTCATTCACTTAGCTCTATTGAATGCATTTGTCTATCATTTGATTCAATTAGCTTTGTTGAATGCATTTGACTTTCATTTGATTCAAAAAGCTTCTTTTAATACATTTGATTTAAATTTGATTCAAAATGCTTTGTTTGAATGTGTTTAACTATTATTTGATTCAATTAGCTTTGTATAATGCATTTGAATTTCATTTT